TGATGGAGCAGCTGGAGGAATGTAGGTCACGACGGCACAAATTTTATGAATGGGTTCCTCAAGTGAGCTGATTGTCACAGGGTTAATAGGGCCTGTCATGCCACTCATGTAGTTTTTTTTTCTTTTCTTTTCTTTTTTATTATTACTTTTTTCAATCTAGTTTTTATGAAGAAGATTGTAGGCTTCCAGTGTGAGTGACCAGGCAGAGATGATAGCTATGCGAACAGATTGCATTTACTGCTTTTTTTTCCCCCTTTTTCTCAAGTGCTTGCCTGAATACCGGCATCAAGTGGTATCCTGCTCATGTTGTTTACACTGAGGGATATGATACCTTTAGGGTGTTTGTGTGTATGTGTATTTATTTTCGTCTTTCCAAGTGCTGTGGATTGAAAAGCCTCTTGTATAGCCTATAGTGGTTATTTTGATGATTTGATGGTATTGTTTTTTTGTTTTGGTTTGGTTTTGTTCACCCCCCAAGTTTGATTGACTTACAATTTCTAATAATACAGACTTGAGCACAGGTAGTCTATTAGCTTACTGTTAATTTTGCATTAATACATAGTTTTGGGAACTCAAATTTATAAAGATGTCTTGAGAAAGGAACCAAAGAAGATGCATGATTTGTTTATGATTTACATGACTGAAGGGTTTAAAGAGTGTGGTAGTTTTGAAGTTTTTTGCTAACATGCTTCGCTGTTAGGAAAGCTAAGATATAAACTCTATTGCTTAACTGAAATTTAAATGGGTTAGAGAGAGAAGTTGCTAAAAATATCTTATTGTCACTTGTCAAAAGAGAAATGTGTAAAATCACTGAAATTTTGATTATTAAGCAGTTGGACAGGTTCTCCAACATTATTTAGTGTTTTTATTGAAGTTCTCTATTACTGTTTAAGCATGGTAATAACAATCGTCTTTTTGTTATTATCACTGTCATCGTCAGTATTACAACCATGCTTTATGGGCATTAGTGTTTATTAGTGTCAGCATTGTGATTACTCTTTTCATCATCTTATCACCATATTTACAATTATCATCTTTAGTATTGTTATAATTTCTCTACTACTACCAGTACCATTAGAGTCTTTGCCATGTCTAATATTTAAAATCTGTTGCAGGCGCCCGCAGCTATGCCGGAGGAGAAGGCGGGGAAGGGGGAGAATGGGGTCGGTGTGGAGACCAAGACCTCAGGCTCCCCTAGCAAGTCCCCCTCCAAGGCTCCAAGGGGGAAGATGGTCCTCTCACGGGTCAAGCTCCTTGATGGGACCGAGTGCGAGGTGGCGGTGGAGGTGAGTGGGATATTGGAGGAGTGGAGGAGAGTTTGAGGGGAGGTGGGTGGGGGGTGCAGATGTGAGAGGGGGAGGCAGAGGTAGGGGTGAGTAGGTGATGGAGTGGATTCAGGGAGAGTAAGGTAGAGATAGGAAAGGGGGAGTGAGTGATGAGGAGGTGTAGGTAATAAAAGAGAAGGAAGAGGAGGAATATGTGGGAGGAGAGAGAAGTGGTGATGTCTGGGTGTTTTTTAAGTGGTTTTGTTTTTGTTTTTTACTCTCTCTCTTTTTTTTTTTTTGAGATATTTTCTCCACATGAAAATTTGTGTTTTATTAGTGATGGGAATGAAGGTAAAGTAGAATATCATTTATACATCGCAACATAGACCACTGTAACTCTGGACTGCACTTGGAGTAGCAACAGCCCTTTACTGGTATTTACTTGGTAACCAGGATGGATATCAATGCAGATTGTGGCAGAAAGGATTTAGGTTCAAATAAAAAGAAACATTTATTTGCCAATGGGCATTCCTGCGCTTGTACATGCATACACACATACACTAACCAGACTATGTATTAACCCAGTGCTGTGGAGGATTTGTAGTTTTGGTTCAGGAAATTTGTTCTCGGTTAGTAGTTTTCTAAATGCTCAGCCACCAAGGAGTTTTTTAGTAGTCTACATTTTTTCCTCTGATTTCCCCTTTCCTTGAGTTTGAGTTTTTTTTTCTTCTAATGCCATTAATACTGATGCTCTTATTATTATTATTATTAAGGAAAATGGTAAAAAGTTGAGATAGGTGAGTAAGCACATGTAAAGACATCTAGGTGTGAAAATAGTTAATAAAATAAACTCGGTGTGCATGGCATGAATATACATGCCATCTCCACTGGCATTGGATTAATAGATAAAATATATTACACACTAAAAAACTAAATTTTGCTATATATTCAGAAGAAAATTATTTTACTTACTATCCTACATGTCTGGGAAAACAAATGCATCATCATGCATAACTGTATTGAGAAAAAGTGTCAATAACATAACAATACCAATGCAAACATTAATTAAAAATTAATCAGAAGAACAGGTTTTAAAGAAGATATTTGCTGAAAATGTAACTTGCACAAACCAGCCTGGTCTAGATTCTACCCTGTGTCATGGCATCTCAGAACAGTTATCCACCTCCATTGGATTTCTGGCTAGTCAGCATTTGTAAAAACTGAGATTGAGTGCTTGCTCTGTTCACATCCACCAGCTTTAATCATTTCTGCCTGGTGATCTGTTGTCGGCAGCACACTCCACTGTGATGATGATTTCAAATTCATATGAAAAGCATCAATTCAAAACAGCCTCCTAACCCAATGCCAAATGATATTTGGCACCCAAAAGCTCTTATTTTTCTATGATTAATAAAAATGTTATAATTTTGAAGGTTTACCTTCATTAATCGGTGCTATTACCTAAAATCTTTACCAAATAAATGAAGCCGCTACTTTCGGAGAAAACAAACTCCGTCCATTGAGCCAATGGCGCGGGAATTGGCATGATATGATGCCATCCGTTTTTCGGGGCACAACAGCCATGGCATGTACGTACATGCCACCCGTTGGCTAATGGTTAATACTTCTTTGTCTGAGATTTGAAACTGATATTAAAATGAAAGAGTGGAATAGGTAAGAATTTTATTATGTCACAGCAATAAAAACTGCCCAGACTTTGAAAAAATACAAAGATCACACTACAGATAGTATGGTGATGCAACCTTCTGCCTCGACCATCTGAGTGGAAATGACACTTGAACCATGTAGGAAATGTTTTGTAGCTAGGCAATATCAGAACATGTGCATGTGAACAGTCCAAACTTAAATTGATGTATTGATTCTATTTTATATTCCATTAGGAGCTCCCAAAATGAAGATGCAAATTGTCACTTGTCCATTAGCCAGACACAAACATTGAAGTAATCCCTCAAATCTCAACAGAAAAAAGCCAAGGGCCAGGACCTCATCAACAGTGTGGCTGACCGCATCAACCTCCTGGAGAAGGACTACTTTGGCCTCAGTTATATGGACCACAACAACTATAAGACTTGGCTGAACCCGGAGAAGAGAATCTCAAAGCAGGTCAAGGGGCCATGGGAGTTCAACTTCGAGGTCAAGTTCTATCCCCCTGATCCAGCTCAGCTGGCCGAAGACATCACCAGATACCAGCTCTGTCTTCAGGTAACAGATTGAGAATGAAAGTAACAAATATAGACAGACAGATAACTTGAGCAAATTTTCCTTGTTTCAGGATCAAATTGATTTTTTTCCATTAATGAAAGTATGTACAGTGAAAGAGCACACGCAGAGAGGATATAATATGCTCTTCACTTCTTTCTTATTTACAGGTACGGCAGGACATCTTGACGGGCAAACTTCCATGTTCTTTCGTTACACATGCACTGCTAGGCTCATACATGGTACAAGCAGAGGTGGGAGACTATGATGCCAAAGAACATGTCGGCACAAGCTACTTGTCTGAGTTCACATTTGCACCAACCCAGAATGCCGAGCTGGAGGAGAAGGTTGTGGACCTACACAAGACACATAAGTAGGTTTCATTTGCTGTTTGAATTTGGTCTCCTGTTGTTGTTGGCTATGTTATGTCGAAAAAGATGGTTTACAATAACACCTACCTTTTCTCTCCATTAGTCTTCCTTCTACTAGTTCTATTTGATCATCTCTATGTTATTTAATTTTCACAAAGATACATAGTGTACTAGATTTATTATTTTTCCTCCATCTCAGTTTTTTCGATAAGCAGTTTCATCTAGATAGTTTTATATATATTTTAAGATATCAAAGTTTAGTCAGAAAATTAGTAAGTTTTCAGTATTTGCCGACATATAAGACACACCTGTGTATGAGGTAATCCCTATTTTCAGTGCATTGCATCATGCATTTTTCAGAATTTTTTTTTAGTGATTATTCAGTGACCAGCATTTGCACATACAACAAGCTGAATAAATTGGTATCAATGAAGAAGACTATGAGTAAGATTTGAATATGTGTACTGATTATGAACTATGGATGTCAAAAAATAGAAGTGCATATCATGAGAATATTTCATTGTCGCTTTGCACTAGTTGTTGGTACAGAGATTGTCTCCTCAATGTATTTTTGAATTTTGAAAAGAATATGCGAGATGTTGGCTATGTTATGTCGAAAAAAATGGTTTACAATAACACCTACCTCTCCCCCCCACACACACACACACAAAAAAGGAAATTTAAAAATTGGCCATTGACATAGTCTTTGTATAGAGTGGAAACAGCTAATACAGCTGTGAACACCCCTCCTCACTGGTTTATACTTTATTTCAATATTTGCAAAGAAAATGTATGCAGTACAACTTTACAGAACTTCTGGCATTGTCCCGTAGGTAGTGCCCACCCTTTAGATTTATTAAAGATTGTCATTATCATACTGTCTGGTTAGCTAACAGTTTTTCTTGTATGGAGAGTCACAGAGAATGATTAAAGATAATTACCCTTATGTTTGTGGTATTTGTATGTCTATGTATATATATATATGTATATATGCGTCATGACACAATATGTATATATACACAAGTATATACATTATGTGTGTGTGTGTGTGAGAGCGAGAGCGAGAGGGAGCAGCTGCTCACATAAGCCTAACTCCTGTAGTTTGGACCATGTGATTGCCATGAAGTAATCTGCTCATTTAGAAAATGTGTCACAAAAGTTGTTTATGTTCAAAAGAGCATTGGAATATAAAGAGTGTGTCAGAAGCCAATTTTTGGAATTCATAAAAGAAAGTGATATGTAATGTACTTCAGAGTGATAAAAAAGAAAAAAGTTACTTACATTGCACTTGACCCCCCCAAAACAACTAAATGGAATTCTAATAAAAGGTCCATGTTTTGATCTACAAGTAGAATAATCATTAAAAAAAAAATTGAAATTATGAATTTTTGGGCAGGCTAATACCTAGTGGGTAGTGAAGTAAAGATCATATGTGGAAAATGTAGTTTTATACTCCAACACGCAAAAAATAATTGAATCAGCTGAAATAGTTATCTTTTTTGGATCAAAAGACCAGAGGAAGGTAGGCATTAGCCAGGACAGTCATCTTGATGCAAATGGTGACTGCTGTTTGAAATTCTTTTTGAATTTCCTTAATCTTTCTCAGAACATTTTCCATTTATGAAGTTTATTGATTTGTTACATTTGTTGTAGTGAAAAGATCAATAAATATATTCAGATCCTTTTCTCTAGAATAGTTTTGTGTGCCTAATACTGTTTCTTTGAGTTTGATATCAATTTGTTTAGTACACTTTGTGGTATAGCTATCACTGTAATAATATATGTGCATTCAGTAAACTACAGCTCACAGTTTACTTCATCTCCAGATTATAAGCTCATATCAGTGATCTGAGTGGTTCATTTTTTATGTGTTAGTTTTGGGGGGGGGGGGATGTCTTATAAGCCAGCAATAGATTACTTGATATTAATTGCTTTACTGTTTTCTATGCTTCATTTGCATGGAGCACAAGCAGTATCAGGCTTTGAGGTACCCAGATACTATAGTAGGCTATTTCGATAAACCAACCATTCAGATTCTCTTCATAATTGGTAAGCTGAAATACATTTTTTGTAGACTATATTTGCCAGTGTATGTTTTTTATAGGGTGTGAGTTAACAAGGCTTATTTTTTTTCTTTATTTATTCAGAGGGCAAACGCCTGCAGAAGCAGAACTACACTACCTTGAAAATGCTAAGAAATTAGCGATGTATGGCGTTGATATGCATTCAGCTAAGGATTCAGAAGGTGTAGATATCATGTTGGGTGTTTGTGCATCAGGCCTCCTTGTTTATAGAGACAAGTAAGTAAGATGTTTAAATTACTTGATTCTTCCTGCCTTAAGTGTGGTTTATATTATTATTTTTTTATTATTTATGAATCATAAATTCCTCCAACCTCCCCAGTACCTCTATCTGGGAAAAATGCATTATTTATATTTGTATATCCATGTCCTTATAATTTTTTTGTGTGTGAAAAGTGATATACTCTTTGACACCCTATTTAAAATTTACCAGATTACGCATCAATCGATTTGCATGGCCCAAAATCCTCAAAATCTCATACAAGCGAAGTAACTTCTACATCAAGATTAGACCTGGCGAGTTTGAAACCTTCGAGTCGACAATCGGGTTCAAATTGCCCAATCACAAGGCAGCTAAGAGACTTTGGAAGGTGTGTGTGGAGCACCACACCTTTTTCAGGTTTGTTCCCAAGTGTGGATTCTGTATTCATTTGAAAAGACTCATTGCCAACAGAGGATATAGAATTGAAAATTGATAGATACATGATTCAGGTTTTCATGTAAGAATTACTGACTAATAAACTGTCAGTGAAGTCAGTTGGTTCAGTGAATGTTTTTATGATCCAATTATTGATTATCACTTAACTTTGCAATATATTGTCCTTATAATGACCCACAACCTCTCTCTTAAAGATTAATGACTCCAGAACCACCACAGAAGCAAGGACTTTGGCCACGGTTAGGGTCAAAGTTCCGATATTCTGGGCGGACTCAGTACCAGTCCCGCATGGCAGCTAATCTTAGTGATCGAAACAATCCTGAATTTGAGCGAACGCTGAGCCGTAGAAAACTGTCTTCAAGAAGTATGGATGGTAAGGAGAGCATACTACATTTTCTCTTTATACATTTAATCTTTTATTTATGTGGTAGTCATTGTGGATGTTTGGATTGGTATGAATGTTTATATAGGGTACTTCAGTTTCATGTATTTCCTTGTTGAGATATGAAGGACTGCTGATCATGATGATAATTATGAGATGAATACTTAAATGAAAATTCCAAATGTATATACTCAAAAACATTTATATGAAGTATATAGTGTAATATAAATATTTATGTAGATCTTTACATCTTTATTCATGTAGTGGATTGCGACTGGTCTAACAGTCGCATGAGAAGTAATGTGCTAGAGTCAGTAATTCATCTCTATGTGGGGTTTCTTTTGAGTTTTAATGCTAAATTGTTTCATCATCTTCATTATGTTAATGTTGGGGACATTTCACTTGATTTATTTCAACTAGAATATAATTTGCAACTTTGGCTTCAACTAAATCTTCAATATCACCAATATAATGCATTGGAGTATTGCTGTCATGTCTGTGGAGATGGATGGAACTGAGGTGCCATATATAGGACTCATTACCATATATTTACCTTCTCTGTTTGAAAATCTTAATATTTGTCCTAATATATATACATTATAACTGTTAGTGTTTTTAATAGTTTTTTCATATAGAAGCCAGGTTAATCATTATTGTCATTTTAATGGAATTTAGGCTCGTTATTCTACAATTTTTTTCGTAGAAATTAAGCAATAGATATACCTGTTATTCTTATTATTATCTTTTATTGTTATCATCATTATTATTACTATAATTATCACAAAGAGTTGAGAGTACAGTTTTGTTATGTTAAAGCATGAAATTTGCATAAGACTTGGAACAATGGAGATTTCAAGGCATCTCCACTTCTTTGCTCATTGTTCTTTGAATGTTAGTTGCCTTAAGAGGTGCTAAAACTCCAGCCAGGATTAGTTGGGCGAAGAAGGGAGGTTGCTCTAGGATTTGTGTGCATGAGGGGGTACACATAAATTCAGATTTTTCAAATTCACCTTTGTGTTTAGAGTAAAGCCTTTACTGAAACCAAAGATACACTATTTTTAGTTGAGTGACATGATAAATTTAATGATTTTTACTTAATGTAATGGTTTGTGTTGTTTACATGGAGCAAATCACACTACAAATCCATGAATATATAAACTGAGTAATAAAAATTTGTATGTTGATATATTTTCCTTTTTTATTATGATTTAGATAATTTAGTTTTCATATATCTATTTGCAATTACTAGACATAATTGTTTTGGGGGGTATTATAACGTATAATTGTTTTTTTCACTCTGTATTTCCTATGCTGCATTGCAATTTCCTAGCCTACAATATTATGGAGGGTTAGTGAAGTATATGCATGTGTAGAGGATGGATATTTTGGTCTTGACTACAAGTTTGTCCGTCTTGTATGGCTAGAACGATTTTTTGCCTTCTTTTTTTTGACTGAAGTCAGTGTTAGAGATAGTTCTGCTTTTTGAATATTTGTTTAAGGAGGTTTTTGCAGCATTTATTACATATATTGTATGTGTATTCAAGTTACTGTTAGGCCCTTCCACATGCAAGAAGAAACACAGTACATTCATATTTTCTTTCTCTCTCTCTCTCTCTCTCTCTCTCTCTCTCTCTCTCTCTCTCTCTCTCTCTCTCTCTCTCTCTCTCTCTCTCTCTCTCTCTCTCTCTCTCTCTCTCTCCCCCCCTCCCTCTCCCTCCCTCCTCCCTCCCTCTCCCTCTCCCTCTCTCTCTCTCTCTCTCTCTCTCTCTCTCTCTCTCTCTCTCTCTCTCTCTCTCTCTCTCTCTCTCTCTCTCTCTCTCTCTCTCTCTCTCCCTCTCCTCCTCTCTCTCTCCCTCTCTCCCTCCTCCCTCCCTCCCTCCTCTCTCTCCCTCCCTCTCTCCTCTCTCTCCTCTCTCTCTCTCTCTCTCTCTCTCTCTCTCTCTCTCTCTCTCTCTCTCTCTCTCTCTCTCTCTCTCTCTCTCTCTCTCTCCCTCCCTCTCTCCCCTCTCTCTCCTCTCTCTCCCCCTCTCTCTCTCTCCCTCTCTCCCTCTCTCTCTCTCTCCCTCCTCCCTCCCTCCCTCCCTCCTCTCCCTCCCTCCCTCCTCCCTCCCTCCCTCCCTCCCTCCCTCCCTCCCTCTCTCCCTCTCTCTCTCTCTCTCTCTCTCTCTCTCTCTCTCTCTCTCTCTCTCTCTCTCTCTCTCTCTCTCTCTCTCTCTCTCTCTCTCTCTCTCTCTCTCTCTCTCTCTCTCCCTCTCTCTCCTCTCTCCCTCCTCTCTCTCTCCTCTCTCTCTCTCTCTCTCTCTCTCTCCCTCTCTCTCTCTCTCTCTCTCTCCTCTCTCTCTCTCTCTCTCTCTCTCTCTCTCTCTCTCTCTCTCTCTCTCTCTCTCTCTCTCTCTCTCTCTCTCTCTCTCTCTCTCTCTCTCTCTCTCTCTCTCTCTCTCTCTCTCTCTCTCCCTCCTCCCCTCCCTCCTTGCTCTGTTTTCTTCCCATAGCCCTTCCCCTTGATACACATGCTCATACTAATATATGTAATAAAAACTAAGATCTTTATTTTCTCATATATTTTATAGGTTATCTATTTATCTGATGAATATTTCTTCTTATATATTTTGCCCAAAAATATATTTTTTAGCTAGAGGAGTAGTCACTCTCAATATATACAAAAAAAAAAAGATAGATTTTATGAGAGCCTCACACTAGTTATTTTCAAAAATTGTCTGTTCGTAGGACAGAGAGCTCAGGGTACGGGGCTCACATATGGGCAATCATATGACCCAGAGTCAGGTAATGTTGGTAGAGAACTCCTTAGGTCTTTTTTTTTTTTTTTTTTACATTGACAGTTCATGTTGGATCAAATTTTGGTCTTGTAGAATTCAAAGAGTTTTTTTTTTCTCTCTTTGTCTTCCCCTCTCTTAAATTACCCTAGAGGTGAGGAATTGGCTTTTTTTTCTTTTCCTCATGAAATGAGGGGGAATAATAGACTGCCAGTATTTACAAACTTCGATAGATTTTATTATATCCAA